CTCTCCTCTCCTCTCCTCTCCTCTCCTCTCCTCTCCTCTCCTCTCCTCTCCTCTCCTCTCCTCTCCTCTCCTCTCCTCTCCTCTCCTCTCCTCTCCTCTCCTCTCCTCTCCTCTCCTCTCCTCTCCTCTCCTCTCTTCTTCTTCTTCTTCTTCTTCTCTTCTCTCTTTCTTTCTTTTCTTTTCATGTGCATATGCATGTGGGTTTTTTTCTTCTCCTATTTTAATAGAAAAAAACCGCTATTCTTGAAATAAGGCTGGTCAGGTGGTCATGTGTCTTATAATTCCCAGAAAATACTAAGTTTCCATGGAGAATTCAAAAGAAAGATATTAGCACTCTCATATTCTCACTGTATTTATTTACTCAACTTTTGCTCATTCTGCCTTGGCAGATTAATACGATCAATTAAAGCTATATATCCAAAGCCAAAAAAAAAAAAAAAAGAAAAAAAGAAAAAAAGAAAAAAAGAAAAAAAAAAGATTAACTGAAAACGGCACATGTCGGTAAGCTGACGCAGAGTATTAAATAAAATACCCCGCCATCTGCCATTCAGTGACTAAAACTTAAATGGAGGAATACATTATCGTGCACCACTTTGTGCAAGGCATATGCATTAATGCGGCAAATTTCCGAGACTCTGCTGTATCAGAAAATGGGAGAGCATCCTGACATAACAATGAAGAAATGCCTAAGGACAGGCTGAATGAGGTGTAGCATCCAGCCTGAGCCACAGTGCTGATTCACTGGGAAATGCTGATTGGCAACAGTCATAAGGGACCTTTAGGCTGAAGTGGTTTCCAGATCTGTGGATGATGCCACCCAGCAATGTCAGCAACAGTGAATGCTTTTGGAAGAATTAAGCCTGTAGAAATCAATATGGCAAAACACAGGATTAACAAATTTCTTCCTTACAGCAGAGAAATGCGTAACAGTGTGACAAATGGCTACAGTCAAAGGACCATCCAGCATGTATCTGTTTTCATAAGAAAAGGTAATATAAAATGTGTATAAAAAGCACAGATATACCTGTCCTAGATCTAGAGCAGATGAATACAAAGCAATTAATTTTTGAAAACAGATGGATTATTATGGAGACTCAGAAAGAGATTAAAACAGCCTAAGAAGCATATCTGAAAAATACTTCTCCTGTTTTTCGTTTCATCTCAGCTTTGTAACATTAAATATAAAGCTTTTCTACGCCTGCACTGCATTGTTTTCCATTCACCCACAAGAGAGCACTGCTCTTACCCAATACTAACAATGAGAGCTGAAAATAGTTTTGTTGATTTCTTTAATTAAATAGACTGCATCATTGACTTCCACCTCATCTCAAAAATCACAACACTGATGATTGCAAGAGCTGCCTCTGAATACAGCTAAAAAGGTACAAATTGCTGCTTGAAGATTCATAAGCAAGTAGGGACTACGGAAGGAAGGCAACAGGGGGTAAAAATGGACACTGGAAAACAAAGCTCATGTCATTTCTCTCTGTCCTTGAAAGAACAAAACACTTTCAGATGAGGAATATTTAAAATATCTGCTGTGTAACTAACACAGAGAAGAAAAATAGAAGTTAGAGATAGGTGGAAATCGAGAAATATGACATACCTATGAAGACACAACAGGGAGAAGGAATAATGTGGAATAATGGCATTTTTCTATATTAGTTTCAATCAAACAGAGAATACAGAAGTGAGCAAAGTGTAATTTGAAAATACATTAACTGAGTAAAAAAATAATTTAGAAAACAAGTACGTTTTCCACAAGCAATGCTGCACTAGGGCTGCTCTAGAAGTAATGCCTGTTGGTCCATGATGTCAAAGGCAGATAAAGGCTGGTGATATGGCAGTAGAGACTGACCTTTCCACCAATGTCTCATTCCATGTTGTTGCCATGTAACAGATGGCAGCAGAGGGGCACTCAGGCAAAATGTTTCTGACATGGAAGTGCACATGGAGCAAACGTGTGTCATATTACTCCTCCACATGGAATTAATGGCAACCATTGACATTCATTAATCTTTGCTGAATGTTTATGGGGCCCAAACAGTGGATGTCAGCACAGTGAGCTGGTGGGTGGCACGTTTCTGCTGTGGTGATGTGCCATGAAAGATGTGCCATGTTATGGAGAGCCATTACAGCTGCCAACCACAAAATAAAGAATGTTTCAACCAGTTCATCCATGCATATTGGAAAACTGCAACCAGGGAACTGTGTACAAAACTGAATGTCAGCTTCAATGTGCTGGGAACAATGGTAGAAATGCTGGAATAATGCAAAGTTTGTGCCAGATGGGCTTCATAAATGATCACCCAGGAACAGGAAGAAAATTGCAGGGAAGTTTGTCAGGATGTTCTGAACCAACACAATGCTGAAGATGACAGTTTCCTGGATTGTGTCATTAATGGTGGCAAGACATGCTGTCATCATTATGAGTCGGAGTCAAAGCAACAGTCCATGCAGTGACGACATGTGAATTCCCCATTATAGAAAAGTTCAAGATGCAGCCTTCAGTGTGTAAGGTCATACACACTTATTTTTAGGATAGGAAAAGGGTGATCCTTCTGTATTTCATGAAACTCAGACAAACCACCAAGTCTGATAACTACATCACAATGTTAACTGAGCTGAAGGCTCAAACTTCCAGAGTCGGGCCAGGGAAGAAGATAACCTTTCTCTTGCAACACGATAAAACCAAGCCCCATATCAGTCTGAATACCATGGGGCACACTGCTAATCTCGACTGGACTGTCCTAACACATCCACCACATAGTCTAAATTTGGCATCTTCTGACTTATAACTGTTTGGGCCAAGGAAGGATGGACTATGCAGGCAACGCTTTCCTAGCAATAACACTGTCATCTGCTCTATCAAGAAGCATTGTTATGCTCTTTGTATCTGTTATACTTTCCATAGAAATAAATAGGAGGCTTTACTATCAGAGCAACCTACGTACAGAACCCTGAGAGGCAGAAAGGTGACAAAGTCTCTTAACACCCTTAGGAAATGTTGGCCATTATTTAATCAACAAGTCTGGGTAACTTTCTCCACAAGAGTCATAAAAGAGGTGGCAGAGATCCCAGGAGCTGTAATGTTCAGCTTTAGTGAATTTTGAAAGACTGCAAAATGTTAATTTTGTGCCAATTAAAATTCGTAAGCAGTATGGCAGGGTAACTTCAGGCACCTTTGTAAAATTTAAGACCTGGGTAAAACAAAGAAAAATCTGAAGTACACGTATTTTATGCATTTGCTTTGTAAGAAACTATGAAGAAGGAATGTAACTACTGCCAGTAAATACTGTTTTAAGCCTTTAAACATGTTATATTTTTGAATTGTTGCAAGGCATTTGATTTAGTGCTATACACTGTTCTGCAATAGAAACCTTGATCTTGAGAAAGAGCACAATAAATGGGGTAGGAAGCACTGTTGATGGATTTCTAACAGTCATCCACAAGATGTCTTCATCTAATCAAGCAACTTTAAATCACATTCTGCAAGACCTGAAACTATCTTGCAGTATTCTTTTTTCTCATTCATGTCCTGGAATTAAAGTCACTGCTATGGAAACTTCCACATAACAGAAAAATTGAAAGGAAAAAAAAAAAATACAGTGAACCATGAGGATACAGAGATACAGGAAACACTCATTTAATATTATACTATTCATGTAAACTACAATTCACAGAATTTATCTGCAAATAAACTCAAGGCAACAAGGCAACATAGCTCACGGTGTACTACTGAAGAAATCAACAACTCTGAAGAGTTTATAGACTGAAGGGAGAAAGAAGCTAAGAATGGGCTAAACCACATTCATTCAAGGGCTGAGTGTTAATGAAAGGCTAATGAGCCCAGAAAATTAACCTTCTTCAGATGAAATGCTACCTTCTAAATAGCTTGTATAATGGAGGATGATTATACATCTCCTACAAAAGCGCCCTCCTAGAAAGCAACTTTAACAATTTAAAAGTTGTGCATTTGTGATGAAGTAAAAGTTTGCAGCGAGTTACCGTAAACGTTTATATTACAATCTAAGCAATAATCTTTACTTCTATACAAAGTTCAAAGTTCTAGAGTTGTCAGCACTCATACTACTTAAACTATTTATTCCATTTTCCTTCCAAAAGAACATGAAAAGTTTAATTGTGTTGCTTTTTTCTATAAATACAGGATTTTACCTATACTTGTGAGGAATTCCATTCTTTTTTCCATCTGTCATATTAACAGTCATGATTTGCCAAAAGGACCTAGAGTCGTGTGTGATTCACTCTAGGGTACACAGACTGGACCAAAAGATCCTGTGGAATAGAATACTGTCAAGGAATGCTCACTTATCCCTGAGATCTGATGCAGGGCTTCTGATATACAAAAATTCATAAATAACAAGAAAAAAAAAAAAAAAAAAAAAAAAAAAAAAAAAA